AGAGAGAGAGAGAGAGAGAGAGAGAGAGAGAGAGAGAGAGAGAGAGAGAGAGAGAGAGCGTTGGTCATGGACCTCCTCCATGAATGCATCACACATCATATTTGCAGGCGAAGCCGCAACAGGTCATCTGGTGAATGAGGAACACACCATGTTGATCAGGAAGTAAACACTCGTTAACCTTGTTCCAAAATTTTATCTGCTCGACTTGCAAGAGACCCGAGAAACTGTGCTCATATTCATGCTTATCATCTAGGTGGCAACAATCACATTTACGTTAAGAAGTGCTTGAAGAACGGATCATGTTAGGGGACTGACAAGGTTTCTCGCAATTCCGAAGAAGAGTTTTGGATGTTGGGTTCGGAATGTCTTTGTGTTGCACTATACCTTTGTAGGAGTTTTGGTTTAATGCTGGTAGGTCTGATGACAGGGGAACGGTTGTGTTCTGCATGACAAAAATATGAATAGTTATTTGAACTTGTCTCCCAGAAATATATGGAGAAGTCTCTGAAGGGTGTTGAAAAGTCTTGAGACGTCCCTTTAGAAGTATTCCATCACATGGTGCCGACAAAGAAGCGCAGGGAGGTGACTGATCTCCAAAAGGTTGTATCTTTTGCTAGATCTCTCAAACAGTAGCAAGAGATAGAGGAGACAGAGGCGGCAAATAGTGCGGCACCTGTGTGTGGGGATAAATGCGTGTGTTGCCGGGAAGGGGTGATAGATAGGAGATCACCGGAGTGTAACAATTTTAGATGAATGTGCACTTATGCCATGCTCTTGTTTGTGGTCTTCTTGTTCACAGAATGGAGAACTGCCACCGGAGGCGGGAGTTATTCCTCGTGCAATTCAGCAGATATTTGACACCCTGGAAAGTGCAAGTGCAGAGTACAGCGTGAAGGTGACTTTTCTAGAGCTTTATAACGAAGAGATTACTGATCTGCTTGCGCCAGAGGAGGTTGCCGTCATTAAGGGTCCTGGCTTGGAAGAACGGCAGAAGAAGCCCCTTGCTCTCATGGAGGATGGAAAGGGAGGAGTGCTTGTTAGAGGGCTGGAAGAGGAGATTGTGAAGAACGCCTCTGAAATTTACACATTGCTGGATAGAGGATCGGCAAAGAGGCGAACTGCGGAGACTTTGCTTAATAAGCAGTCAAGGTGTGTTAAATGTGGCTTTTCTTTCATCTGCATTGTGTACTCTCGTCTGTTACTATCTTCACCCAGAATACTGCCCGTGCGTTACATTCAACTTACCCTAAAACAGTCAGATTTTTCTTAACTTTATCTGAATAAGTGGACCTGCTGTGGCCGAGGAGCAGGGAGGAGGGAAAAGGGTGGGGGGGAAGGGAGGAAGGGAGGGAGATCCTGCTGCCGCTGCCTCCTTTTCCTCTACCGTCCCACTTCCTTTATCCATGGCTGTTATATATCTCCAGCCATCGTTCTCTCTTTGCCATCGCCGTCGTTGTTCTTTGTTGTTCTCCTCGTTCCATTCTCTACCCTCCTCCCTGATCTACCTGGCAGATTATGGTCTCCTTTTTAAAAAAAATATTGGTCTCCTGTTATCCCACTGTAGATGATTATGCTCTTCCAAGGATGGTCGTGTTCACTTGGGATGATACAGATTCGTTTCCATCGCATGCACGTGCGTTCGTGCATGCGTCTCTGTGTGTGTGTGTGTGTGTGTGTGTGTGTGTGTGTGTGTGTGTGCGTGTGTGTGTGTGTGTAACACAGAGACAAGGTTGGGCCAATCATTAGGCGGATGAGGGTGATGAGCTACGGGGTCACGATTGGGATTGGAAAGGTTTAACAAATGTGGAGCATGACCAGAAAGTAGATAGATAGATAGATAGATAGAGATAGATAGATAGATAGATCGATAGATAGATAGATAGATAGAGAGAGAGAGAGAGAGAGAGAGAGAGAGAGAGAGAGAGAGAGAGAGAGAGAGA